GGTAATTGGACTTTGCCCAGGATATAGAAGCAGCAATTCTCTTGCTGGCGGATGGTGAAGGTGTTCACTGTGTACATGGTGGACGGTGTCACGTTTCCCAGCAGAGCCCTGTGTGTGCAGCACCAGCTGTTAGGCTCAGAGAGAACTCGCCACCCTGGAGGTCATTGTAAGTCCGGCCAGCTGTCTGCTCTTTTGGGCAAGAGAAATATAATCGGGAGAATGTACATGGTATAGGTATGGCCCACTTCTCTTGGGCAAACTGGCTCAAAAACAGATGTCACTAGGGATGTAAATATGTAGGTAGGACAGTCCTTAAAGTTTCCTGGGGATTCCTGGGAGAATCTATTTTCCCCTTTTGTTTCCTTTGGTATCCAGAGAAGAAAAAAGCAGACAGACGGCTGAGAAAAATGATCCGGATCCCAGGGTTCAGACAGTCACTGATGATGCATTAGCAACTGAAAACTGGCTAAAGAAAAACAAGTACAGTCCATTGGCCATCCAGCCCCCCACTCCCCCCTTCTCCATCCTGCTCTGTGCCCTGGGAGATTGACCTATAAGGATGACATCACTGGGCTATTTTGTCTCCGGGTGTATTAGTCAGGGTTCTCCAGAGAAACCACCAATGCATATAGAGAAGGAGATTTATTATAAGGAATTAGCCCAGGCAGTTATGGAGACTGACAAGTCTAGAATTAGCGAGGTGGGCTGGGAAAATAGAGACCCAGGAATGTGGATAGTATCGTTCCAGTCTGCAGCCTGGCAGGCTCGAGAGACCCAGAAAGACCCAAGGTCTCCATTTGAGTGTGAGGGCAGGGAAAACCAACGTTCCAGTTCAAGTCCAAAGGCTTCTCCTGAGAAAATCTCTCTGGCTCTGGGCGAGCTCAATCTTTTCGTTCTAGTCCCACCCTCAACTGACTGGACGAGGCCCCCTACCTTATAGAGGGCAATCTGCTTTACTTAAAGTCCACTGATTTAAAGGTTAATCTTACCTGAGAACACCTTCACAGACACACCCAGAATAGTGTTGAACCAAGTATCTGGGCACCCCATGTGGCCCAGTCAAATTGACTCATAAAATTAACCATCATACCTGGCTTCCAGTTCATTCGGTCCATGGGAGTCACTCACAGATGAAAGACAAAAGAAGAATGAGGTTGGGGAATTTATTTCTTGGATTCCTCTATTCTAGGTTGCCATGGATTGTGTGCACCCGCCTACTGAAGCCCACAGCTCCTTCCGGCTGCTCTCTGCACAGCTCTCTCTCTGTCTTCAGGGTCTGGAAGCAGCTCCCCTCTTTGCCCAGTTGGGCCTGGGTGGGAACAGCTCCCTGCTACTGCTAGCCCGGAGATTCTGCATTATCCCACTGACCCTGCTCTTGTTGTAAGTACATTTTATTAAATGTTTCTCAATTTATCCAGTTTGAAAACTGCATGCCCTCTGTTTTCTGAATGGACCCTGATGGATATTATATAGCATGCACTATGTGTCAAGCACTGCTCCAAGTGCTTTGTATGTGTTAACTTTCCAAAAACTTGTAATATAAATATTATCATCACCCTCACCTCACAGATGAGAAATGGAGGCACAGAGGGTTTAGAGCGCTTCCTCAAAGTCACAGAGCTACTGCCCAGCCAGGGTGACTCACTTGGTTGAACATCATCCCATGTACCAGGAGGTCACTGGTTCAATTCCCGGTCAGAGCACATGCCTGGGTTCCGGGCTCTATTCCTGGAGAGAGCCGATTGATGTTTCTCTCTCATTGATGTTTCTGTCTCTCTCTCCCTCTCCCTTTCTGTCCCTGAAATCAATAAAAACATATTTTTTTAAAATGTCACAGAGCTAGTAAGGGCTAGAGCAAGATTTCCAGCACAGGCTGTTCGGCACCCAGGCCTTCATCATTCACGATTGCTCTGGATTTTTCCAAGAAGTGAAGATGATGACGATGACAATGAGAGCAGAGCTAACATAGAGTGCATGCATGCTGTGTCCCGGCCCCCTGTTAAGTTCTCAGTCTGTACTTTGATTTAATCTTTACCATAATTTTTCTGGTAGGTGCTCTTGCTACTGCGGTTTATAGTGGAGCATCCTAGAGGTGAGATAGTCTGCACTTGAGGCAGAATGAGGATTCAAGTCTGTGTTTGGAGAACATGGCAAAGACAGGGATGCAGGGAGGAATGAATAATTGGGGCCGGTCGTTCAATCTATTCATGGTCACGAACTCTTGCAAAAGACACAGTTTAAAAGGTGGCTGACTCAGGATGGCCTCATTTGCATAAGGGAAAAAGAAGAACTTTTGGACATTTTCAAAGGACTTTTAAGGAAACCAGGATGGCTATTTGTGTTCATCGTGAGGTGACTCATACAAGTCATGTTATTGAAAAACAGGAAAATTCAATGCTAATTGCAAAGACTTATGGCCTCAGGCATAACGATAATAACGACTTACAGTGTGTAGCATTTTAGAGTGCACAATGCATTTTAATATCAGATGTCTCATTTAATTTAATTAATTTTTTTGTACTTTAATATTCAGATGTCTCATTTTATACTCACAACAATCCTCCTATTTTGAACTGGAGGCGACGGAGGCTGAAGTGACTTGCCCAGGATCACCCAGTTTGCCAGTGGCAGAGCCTGGAATTAAGAAAAACATTTGATATGTAGCAGTAGCTGAGAAATTTACACATACCAGCAGTCAGCCAACGATAGCCCAGGGGCCAAAATCACCCAATAATCAGTTTTTATAAATAAAGTTTTATTGGCACACAGCCATGCCCATTCATTACATGTTGTTTTCTTCAACAGGGGCAGGGTTGAGTGGATGTCAGAGACCATATGACTCCCAAAACTTAAGATACTTATTATCTGGCCCTTTACAGAAAAGGTTTACCATCTCTTGACATACACCATCTCATATTTCAGTTTAGTATTTTAATTTGTACTGTACTCACAGGGTTCAAAAACCCTTAAGTGTCAAAAGGTAAACAGGAAAAGCCCCCTCTATTTTTGTCCCCTCAGGCAGGGCCCCCTCCCCCACAGAGAGCCCCTGTGATTAGCTCTCTTGCATCTGCCCAGAGATGGCTTTAGGTCAAATATTCTTTAGAAGCAAATATTCTTCTCCCCTGGCCCCCCTTTCAACATGATCTCTTTTGATTCTCACAAAATCCACAGGTGCGGGGTCAGTTTTCCCTCCCGGGGCCATGGACCTCAGAGCTGCCTTCATTTCCTTTTATTTTGCAGGCCAGGGGCTCATCTAGCTGCTGAACTGGGGGTGCACTCACCCACAAAGAAGCCCCCTCCATCCCTGCATCCTTCCTGTTCCACCACTACCCACATCCCATCTCTTAAAAAAAAATTCACACATTCACAAAGAAGGGAGAAGAATACAATAAAAATACAATGGACCCTCATGTCCCCACCCTCCAGCTTCCTCAATTAGCAACATTCTGCTCTCTTTACTTTTCTGTACCTTTTTTGTTGCTTATTTTTAATTGGGGTTAAAGTTACATCACATAAAACTAACCTTTTTTTTTTCTAGTACATTCACAATGTTGTGCAACTATCACCTCTATCTAGTTCCAGAACATTTCCATCACTCCAAAAGGAGGTCTTGTCCCCATTAGCACCACCCTCAACCACGAATCTGCTTCTTGTCTCTATGGATTTTTCTGTTCTGGACATTTCATATCAATGGAATCATACACTATATGGCCTTTTGTATCTGGCTTCTTTCTTTTAGCACAGTGGTTCTCAACCTTCTGGCCCTTTAAATACAGTTCCTCATGTTGTGACCCAACCATAAAATTATTTTTGTTGCTACTTCATAACTGTCATGTTGCTACTGTTATGAAGCGTCATGTAAATATCTGATATGCAGGATGGTCTTAGGTGACCCCTGTGAAAGGGTCGTTCCACCGCCAACGGGGTCATTTTTAAAGACCTCACAAAATTAACACTAACTCCTTCAGATCCCCTCACACTCAGTCCAAGTTCGATTCTCCCTGTTTAAACAATGCCACTCTTAGACTTATTGTGATCATTTCGCAATATATACAACTATTGAATCATTATGTTGTACACCTGAAACTAATATAATGTTACATGTCAATTGCCTCTCAATAAAAACAAACAAGCAACACTACTTTCCCCATGAGATCTTTCCCCCCACTTTGTCTCTCTGTTCTGGGAAAATTATGGGGACTCTCTGTGCTCTAAGATTCCTCTTAAAATAAAAAAAAAAAAAAAAGAGGCTCATCTTTAAAAGGAGCCCCTTTTACAAAGAGACACGGTTACCCCAGTTTTTGGATCCTAAGCCTACACCAGTGGCAGACAGACCAAAGAACTTGCAATCAATTGCCTTTTTGCCTTGAACGATTCCGTTTCCCTTACCTTTCGGTTCAAAGGAAAGAGGCTGGGGGTGAGGGGAAGCTGTTTTGAGGATGAATAGGAACTCAGAGAGGGGCTCAGCAGCTGTCCGCTAATGGTTTATTTATTTTGGGGCCCGGGCATCCATAATTTCGGTTGCGACCTGGTGGAGGGGATGCGGCTAAATGACAAGCAGGTTGCGTCCCCCCCACCGGCCTGTTATACACGCCGGCTCCGCCCTTCCCCAGACCCCCGAGGCGGAGGAGCGAGCGCCCACGTGTTACCACTTTTCCTCTGCTCCTTAGAGAAGCCAGTGTGGACTGAGGTGGAGTGGAGAACAGCGTCCTTCCGGGGAGAAGAGTCCTGTGCTGGGAGGTCGCGGGATAGAGGAGAGGGAGAAATTGATCCCCCTCAACTCCCCCCCCCCGCCCCCGTCCCCGGTCCCCGG